ATCCCACCGTGGTGGTATTGATCCATGAGCGCTCCCTCCCACTCCCATCCCTCTTGCTCACCCAACGACAGGGATTGTCAACCCAGCTACCCCTCTCTCTAATTCCTGCCAGCCTTCCTTTGCCTGTTAGCTAGCTAGCTGACTTGCTTGCTTACTTGCTAAAATAGTCCTCTTCGTCCTTCCCATTCATCCACGTAAAAGTGTACGTGCTTCTCGAACGATGACTTCCCCTATCATATTTTAAATATACATATATATATATATATATATATATATATATATATTCCTATCACTCTCATTGTCTTTTATCATCATCCCTAAAATGCTAAACGTACGATAAAAGCCATAATCCCTTCTACCGTTACATAGCTATACACATACACCTAAATACACACAAAGGGATATAAATGTCATAAAGTATTTCCCCAATGATGAATCGAAAAATGGTTGAAGATCCCTGTTCTAGAGTTAAGTTGGTGAGAACGTAGGTTAGGGGTGGGGGTGGAGCAAGGGATGTTTGGGAGGAGGGGTGTAGGTTGGTGGTGTGCCGGTTGTGGTAGTGAGGAGTAAAAAAAAAGGGCCCGAACCCATGCCGGAACGCCTACCCACAATTCAAACTGAACCATCCACGCGGTATACTCTCTCTGTTCACTGTCTTCTTCGTTCAACTTTTTTCTTTTTTTTCTTTTCTTTTTTCGACTACCGTTCCATTTCATTTCTCGAATTCACTCCCTCGTAGAACGTTCGTAAGAGAACTGCACGCACGTTACCTACTCTCTGCCTACTCTCTCGAGTTCCGTGTTATCCAAGCACACACATAATGCGTTCACTCATGCTAAAACACGATGCCGCATCGACGGATTTTTTCAAATAATGGGCAACACATTCGAACTTACTCATCGATATTTTCCTTTTCTTTTCTTTTCTTTTATTTTCTTTTACTTTGAATAGACGGTTGTATACGATGGTAATGTAACATGAGTGTTGAAAAAGAACAAAAAATATAATGCAAATGAGGGAAAGAAAATAATACAGAAATTTGGTTGTTTTAAAGGGGTGCAGGGAAGAAGGGAATACATGAATTAAGATGATTATACAATTGGCTTCCTACCTTCCTTCCTTCCTTCCTTCCTGCCTTGTATTATCGGTGTTGAATCGGAAAAGGAATTCATTTGTAAAGGCAACGGCCAAACGCGGTTACCCTCGCGATTAGAGACAAGCAATTTGAAAGATAATGACTACAAACATGTGGTGGGTAACGTCAATGTGGAAGTAGTACGAAGAGGCGGACGCCCATTTTCAATAGGGCTTACTCCCCCTCCGTGAAGAGTAGTAGCTTGATACTTTGCATAAAAGCACAGCGCGAGGGAGATGTGGACTTTAAAATACGTAAAAAGTTTCGCCTTCCTGAAACCTAAAAGGATATACACGTGTACGCATCATATACTTCCATTTACTACACATACATATATACAAATACATATATAGAAAAAGAACCTATCTCTTATTGTCATTTTTATATTTTCTTTTTATTTTTTTTTTTTGGTCCTTTTTATTTGTTTTTCTTTCTTTCTTTTTTTTCCGTTTGTTTTCACGAGAAGAGCATAGTCGGTGAAAAAAAAAAGAAAACTTTAATGCGAGTGTGTTCATCCCCCATTTGAAGAGAGACAAAAGGGAAAAGGATAGAAACAATAAAATATAGAGATAGAGGGGGGTCAGAGAGGAAATAAAAAATAAAAAAAAAAGAAAAACAAGTAGATATAACCGTGGAATTTTTTAATTGGATATCTTTTCTAATTCGTTCGACGCAAAGGAATTACGTTCTATCCACGTCACGTATCACGTTCGAACGGAGATGCCGACTGAAATGTGGAACTCCATCTCCCGTAGGGATGTCATCCAATTAAAGTTGAAGTTGCGAAACTTGCGTATAGGCACTGTGACGTGACGTCACTTGAGAATGAGAAAGAAAGAAAGAAAAAGAGAGAGAAAGAGAAACATGCAAATCAAAATCATTCGATTGTGACAACACCAGATTATATTATCATTATTATTGTTATTATTATTATTATTATTATTATTATTATTATTATTATTATTATTATTTAATTCTTTTTTGTTATCATCTTTTCAAATTCAATATGTAACATAATAAGTATAATTAAATTCATAAGAGCTTAAAGTTTTATCATAAACCTAGAAGATTAAGTAGGTGTATAATATAATAAAAAAAGAAAAAAGAAATATTTGATAATTTTTTTTTTATTAAATACAGTAAAACGTGGTTGTTTATATTAATTTATGTATGTGTTTTTTTCTTTGCTTTTTTTTTTTATTGAAGACCTAGTTAATCTCCGTGGATTAGAATAACGTCACTAAGCCTACCGTTTAAAGTTTTAATTAAAATCCTGCATTCGATATTATATATATTTATTTTTTCTCTGTATTTAAACTTTATTCATATTGTTTTTATTTGTTATTTTTATACCAGAGTACTATAAATTAATTATTATCTATTTAAAATTTTAAAAATATTTGACTACTTTTACAAATTTGTCCTACGACTATAAACAGTTTAAAATTTTCTACAATGTTTTAAATAATCTGAGGATTTTTATTTAGTTTTAAATATTTTTGAATTTAACTTAACAATCAAAATTCTAAATATTTTGTTTATTTAATATTTAAATAAGTAACAAATTAATTAATATTTATATTAAATTGTTAGAAATAATTTTTTAACTTTACGATAAATGTATACTAAAAAAAAAAGAATTAGCTTTTAATTTTAAACAAATTTGATGAATAATCTGAAAACGCGTATTTACTTTTAAATGTTAAAACCCTCTCTCTATCTTCTTCCTTTGATATAACCTGCGACACTCGAGTCTTTACTTATTGGATAGCAGGCGGAATGAACTCGCGATCCCGAGGGTGCGGAGTTAAGCGTTTGTACGAGAAGGAAAAAAGGGATAAAGGTAGAAAAGATATGAAGAGGTGGATGGGAGGGTGAGGAGGAGGGGAAGGGAACAGGGAATGTATTTCTGGCTGCCCACTAAACCAACTATCATTCCGATCCGATGAAAAGTAACATTTATATGCGTGATTAAAACAACTCAAATGGTTCAACTTCGAATGTACTCAAAGAAATAAAATATATATGTATATATATAATTTCGTATCAATGAAATTTATTCAACATTAGTAGCTATTTTTAGTTTAATATACCTATAACAAATATGTAATGTTTTAATCATCGTTTAATAATGAAATAATTAAGTTAGTTAATTATTTAATAATTACATTTACATTTATTTAGTAATTAATATAACATTTTAATTAGTTAATTATTTAAAATAAAATTGACGATATTAAAATTAACATTTATTTACGATGATGAAAAAGATTGAGTAACCTTTAACGATATTTTATCAGTTTGCATATCGACAAAAACGATCTAACTCGTTACACTCCTTTTAATAACCCTTTTCATATCGTCCTTTGTCGTTACGGAACACGAAACTCCTCTAACTATTTGTTAAGCACTTACATACATTTGTACTTATGTCCTTTATATTACACCAATTAGATATTATTATTCTTATCTATTTTTTTTTAATTCGTAATTCGTAATTTTGTAATTTCGAACATCTTTTATTCGAGTTTAATTATTTTATCTTTTTTCTTTTAAAATAAATCGTTATTCTTTATTAATATTTTTTGAAAGAGTGAAAATGTCTACTTTTGCAAAAAAGAAAAAATTAATTTAATTTGTATCAATATTTTGAGTTAATATCGAATATTCGCTATTCGTAGAACAGACGTTACGATTTATATTACTTTATGTTATCTGTGTCAATTACAAATCCTTTTGAAGAATTAACGAATTTTTTGTAGATTCCGTTAAAATTTGAAATTTATAAAAAAAAAGAACGAAAAAATCCAAGCTCGCAAAAAAATGACACGAGAGATTTCTCTCGTACAATTTTTTTTACTTTACTATCTACATGCTATGATGATGATAAATCGTTCGTGTTGTTATACGAAGTCAAACGCAAATATCGTGTTAATGAAACGCGATGCAAAAAAATGAAAGCTGAAATACATAGGTACTCTCTTTTAACTATCCTACATTCAACCAAACCAAACCAAACCAACCATCCAACGAACGAACCAACCAACGAACTCGAACAGTACTAGGGATCATAACGTTTTTAATTTCACCTTATTCGAGTAGCATGAGATTTTTTCTCACTGGAACATACACACACACACACACACACACACACACACACACACATACATTTACTATTCGTATGTCCTAAAGTGAATTTAATCAAGTTAATTTTCAAACGACATTTACAAACGTTACTTTATATTTTCGTTTCATTACATGAAAAAGTACGAGTATGTTCCACGTTTGTTTGCTCAGATATACCAAAAGGATTTTTAAAACTTGTTAAGCGTTTAAACGAAATATAAATGTGTGTGTGTGTGTATGCATGTGCATATTATTTATATTAATTATTTTTCAAGAATTATGAATATTAAGAACAAAATTCCTTAGTCTCATTTTTATTTTATTTTATTTTTCTCAAGATAATTCTATAAGTCGATTGTTTCGATGATACGAAAGTATTATTCAATCGCAGACGTGTATTATGTCTGTTACATATTCCAAAGGATAAAAAAAAAGGAGTAAAATAAAAAATCGAACGCACATTGATTAAATGGGGGGGGGGGGGAAATATGAAAGCAACAGAACAAGCTCTCTCTGTCGTAGAATAAAGCTTTCTCACTCGTAATACTAAATCAATATCTGGCGGTAGGGTGAAACGTGTGTAGTACTGGGTCTTACAAAAGACAGAGAAAGAGAACTCAATCTTACGAAAATGATCCTTTAGTTTTGTTAATCATTTTCTTTTTGATTCTTTTTTTTCAAATTCCTAAATTTGAAATTTATTGTTTTAATAAAAAAAAATACAAATTATTTGTTTTAGTATTGAAAACTAACGGACAAAAATCCACAAGCATGAGCTTGCAAACTAGCCCACCTTGGATTTAATCGAACGCATCCTCGCAGATGCACAGGTATATGTTAACACACAGATAAACGTTTACTTAACCATAATTTCTCTAAAAGCTCTTTTATTTTTTATTTTTACGTAGACAAAAGATTCATCGTTTTAGTCGATCCCTAACGTGACCCATTTGTTCTTAATGCAGACAAAACTGTTCGTCATGGTGGAGGAGAACGCAGGGACGGGAGCACGATTGGATGGGGAGTTGCAACGTGGTAGAGGAGAGAACGCAATCTTACGTGGAGAATCACGGGACGTTGTAGCTAGTACATCGTCATCATCAGGAACGGTAACAACAGCAACAGCAACAGCAGCAGCATTGAACAATAACGGTGGTACTACGAGTAACAGCAATCTGGCTAACATTGGTGGTATAAGCAGTAACAACAATGCATCATCACCAGCTTCAGCAGCAGCAGCTTCCAGTGGTATCGGTAATCCGAATCTCTGTCAAGAGGCAAACGAATCCCAAACACACACGCAGGAAGATGGTAAAAGGCTCAGTGCGAATAGCAGCCCAATTGAGAAGAGAAGTTCGGCAAGTGATAAATCCGTTAGTCCGATCGATAAGAAAAATAGTCCCATCGATAGGAAGGATAGGTCTAGTCCGATAGATCGAAAAAGTAGTCCCGTAGGTTGGTATTAAACATTTCTAACTTTATTCTAAAGCAATCTCGGTATTGAACCGATCCCGATCAAATAACGTTCGATGTTTGTTCAGAAACTCGAAACAGTTCACCCTGCCGTAGTCCAAGCGAGAAAACTCGAAGGTCATACGCTTTGAATCGCGATAAGACACGACTTGGTGAGTCCGGGAGGAATCTAGATTCACGATCTAGAAGTGCCAGCCCAGATAGGGGTTCATCTAACAGGACCTCCTTCCTACATCGTGGTTGTAGCGACCTTTCCGGCGTGGAAAGGCTTCGAATCTCAACCAATCCAGATTCTTTAAGATCGAGGAGATTTTGTAGAGTTACGACCGATCCGGAAACTGATGTTCGTAAGGATATCGTTGATAATGACGTTAGACCGGAAGAAGATAATGAACCACCCGATCCAGCACCTGGAAGTAGACCTGCTTCACCTGCTAATTCTTTGGGTAAGGTTTTCTGTTTAAAATTATTACCTGTACATATTTATATTTCTATGGTTTCTATGTTATAGGAATTTGCAACGAGAGCGTGCTTGATTCAAGATTGACGATTATTCATGGCAGTGGAAGTAGCGGTGCAGCCGTGGAATTGGCTAGCGCTAGAAGACTGCGATTGGAAAACGAAAGATTAGTGGCCGAAGTTGCAAGGTTGAGAAGATTGTTACTCAGCGGGGCTGCCCGTGGCGAGGTCGGAGCAGAAGATACGGCTTTGGAGGAAGAGGCACGCTTTGTCGCCCTCGAAATGGAATTGCAACATACGAAGGAAACCTTGCAGGCTCTTAAAGCCGATCGTAAACGATTGAAGGCTGAAAAGTTTGATCTGCTCAATCAGATGAAAGCTTTGTACGGTACCCTTGAAGACAAGGAACGAGAACTGCGTGATTTTATACGTAATTACGAACAGGTGATCTATTATCGATTAGATTGATTTAGTCGTACAATTTTTTTTCGTTTGGATGGTTTGCTTTTTGGTTCTTAGTATTTGGTTCTTAATTTATTTGGATTATAGCGTATGCGAGAAAACGAAGCTACGTTGGGACGTTTTCAACAGCAGGATGGTGGCATATCCTCGGAGGAACGCGAAAGAGAACGAGAGAGGGAACGTTGGAGTCTTCTAAGAGCAGCAAGAGATGAGGCGGATCGAAGTCTAAGTCTTGCTGCGAGTTTGGCTGACAAAGAAGTAGCATTATCTCATGCACGTGCTACTATCAAAGAGGTATACAAATCTAACTGAATCTTAATGGGATTGTAATCATAGGTTCGTCTCATTTTACTACATTTAGAAAAATATTCGATTATTTGGAATGTTTATAACAATTTAAAAACGTCAAAGTTTATAGTCTCATATTTTTCTTGATTAAAATCCTAATTTAAACAACTAGACGAATTTATGTTACAACGCAGTACACATAGGCATACACGTATTGTTTACTAAGCGATTATCTTCGATCGACAGCTTCAACGACAATTGATGGGCGGTGGCGGTGGCGGTGGTGGGTGTTTGAGCGATCAGGAGTCTTTAGTGTCCTTCCCACGTGGCACAGTTAATGGGGTCGCAACTCCAGGTGCTGGAAGTAACAGTGGCGTTGGTGTTGGTGTTGGTGGTGGTAGTGGTATCATCCCTCATATCAATTCTCAGCCCCCCATAGGGACTACGGAGTTAGGGGTGGCCAGTAATATGAGTGGTGGTGGTACAGGTGCAATTTCCTCGGGTGGACAAGCCGGAGATCGTGGTAGCTGTAGTGCGGATAGTGGTGTGCGTGGATCCAGCGATCGAGAGAGTGGTGGTGCAACCAGTATCGGTGGAAATCTGTCAGATTCTACAACTGACGGTAAGTCTTTTTCAATTTTTCATTTGTCACATACACAAATATGATACACATTTTTTGCACACACACACACACATTAAATACTAACACGAGTTAAAAAAAAATATTTTTAAATTAGCGCACGTATACGCACTTTGAAACGCATTATTCATTGATTTAGTTGACGTAGCTTTTGTTGAACATCGGTTAGTATAATAATCTGTTATTTAATATTGTTCGTCAACATTATTATCAAAGCACGCTGATGTCCATTCTCTTAATATTATTATTATTATTATTATTATTATTATTATTATTATTATTATTATTATTATTATTATTATTATTATTAGTAAAATGACACGCTCGAATGTGTTCTAGTGATTGGTTCGTTTGACGACCATCTCTTCTCCTCGTAAGTCGTATCTCTTTTCAGCCCACGTCTTCGTTCAAACTCGTAACTCATCCGTTAATAATAAGTTAGGTGTGCTCGAAAGGAACAGAATTATCGGTTTGCACTGATCGTTGTAAAAATCTACCGAGCTACGTCACTCATCCTTATCCTTATCCATCGTTTATTATTGTCCATTCATGAAAATGATTTCCAACTTGTTGTTATAGTTCATAGGTTACTTTTTTCGTAAGGATTAGCCACAGCTCTTCTAAGATTTCTCTGACCTATTCATTTTGTGGAATTAGAAAGCCGTATTGAGATAATGTTGGAGTTACAACTTGGATTTGTAACAGTTATTTTATCGAACTATGATAAAATCGATGAGAGAAGAACTACAAAATTCGTCATTGTTACAATTATTTATAGAAAACTATTAGAATTATAGGTTTGATCGATTAATCCAATTTCTCGATTAGTTTATTAACGTTGGCTTCTATTTTCTATTATTTTATTGCTCATACATGTATATGTGCAAGGTTTCATAATTGTGTTAACTATTCAATGAAACAGGGCACTGCAAAGTACAAAAATGTGGATAAAAGAAAATCAGTTTATTTGTTTTTTTTTTTTTTTGAAATTACTAAATTAATCAACCAGATATACTCTTCCAATTAAAATTTCCATAAATGTTGCGAACTATCAGGAACTCAAGTTTTCCATTTCGTACATGACTCCATGAAATATATATAAATGGAGGTTTGCATTTGTTTCATCATTAATTCATTAATGAAAGATAATATTTTTAATTTTCATATTCCTACGTCTCGACATGCAACAGGAAATGATGTTGAAATTCGTGTTATTACATGAATTATTGTTTATTGTTTAATTTATGTTCGTTATATACTATTTTACGCGCAGGAACACCGACTATTACGATCGAAGGAAGCGGTCCCGACATGGACAACATCTCAGTGGTATCCTCCGTAGCACCTCCCCACATGTATCAGTGTAAGTGGCAAAGTATAATCGGTACTCGTCGTGTTTATTTTCAACATGATCCATCTTATCAGCAAATACTTGTCAACATTTTTCCACATCATCGTATATATATATATATATACATTTTCGTGATCTGATTTTTTCTCTTATCGATTTCCTTGGATAAAATAACGAGAACAAAGGAGTTCGATTATCTTAAGTCGTATTTGCTTCTTTTTTTTTTTTGTTTTAAAGGAGATGCCAGGAGATCTTTGATAATCGTTCAAAAACCAATTGCATGCGCATGCTTCTATTCCTCTGAAGTATATAAATTATAAAAAAAAATTTATAACAAAATCGTTAGGGTATTATAGTGAAAAGGAAATATTGCACGAATTGTAAGACCCGCTCCCCCTTACGTTGAGCTCAACGATCAATAATTAATTATTTCAGAATCCTATAATATTATATGAAGAATAGTCGACTAACTTGTGCAACAATGCGTTTGAATATGTGTGTGTGTGTGCTGCTGCTGCTAGTAAAGAGTGACATAACAAATCATAAAAAAATTGATAGTATTAAAAAAGAAAACACGTTCAGAATGAAAAAAAGTGAAAAGTAGATTAACACATACACAACATACACCTTATTATAAAATATCTTACGTACAACAAATGACAATAATAAATACAATTTAGTTAAAATAGAATTTGTCTTTCAGCAGCTACGACACCAAAGGATTGTAGTCCCACGCTGTCACCACTGAATGCATTTTCAAGATCTACAGACAACACTTCGTTATCGCGATCGGTGGAACAATTGTCGAGTCCTTTAGAACCCGAACCAAGAAGAAGCAAACAAGTACCAACTGTAGCGGCACCAACAACACATTCACGTTCTTCCGCCACACGAGGTGGTACATGGGGTTCCATATCAAGGTAAAATCTTTCTTTGAGTATACTATAACTGGCTGAACTATAATAGTTTAACATTTAACATTGGAATACTGTTCAAAGAACTTTTTTATCTTTTTTGTTTTTTTTTTCGCCTAGGGTTTTCGCACGATCACGAAATCGAAAAAGTGCGAACACTTCCAGCGGTGGTAGTGGAGCTAACGAATCCTCAGAAGGATTCGATCCTTATAGAGCATGGTCGTCGCCATTAACCGAAGAAAGTTATGCCGAGAAGCTTCGTTTGTTAAGAGAAGCTGCATCAGTACCAATGGAACGATGGAGAGCACCAACTGTTTTGGCATGGCTCGAGGTTGCACTTGGTATGCCGCAATATGGTCCCAGGTGTGCAGAAAATATCAAATCTGGCAAGGTAATAACAACAAACTTCAGAGTAATACTTCCTTATTAATAAATATCATGTTACGTATTAAATAACATCATGTTCTCAGGTACTTCTCGAGTTAAGCGATGCAGAGTTAGAAGCGGGATTAGGTGTGACTCATCCTCTTCATAGAAAAAAATTGCGGTTAGCTATCGAAGAACACCGACATCCTAATCTGGTTAGGTATCCTTGCATAGCACAACTTGGTCACACTTGGGTTAGTTCCGAGTGGTTACCTGATCTTGGATTAGCACAATACTCGGAAAGTTTTGCTACCAATATGGTCGACGCACGTATGCTCGATCATTTAAATAAAAAAGAATTGGAAAAACTTCTTGGGGTTTCGAGGAAGTTTCATCAACATAGTATTGGACACGGGATACATTTGTTGAGAATGTTAAACTACGATCGTCAGGTAAATGTAGATGATCTAAAATTATGAACAATATTTATATGAATTCGATTAATCGATAGTCCTAATTATTTCAATTAAATATAAAATTCTAGGCACTGGCTGTTAGGAGACATCAATGCGAGCAAGTGGACACGGATCCTTTGGTGTGGACCAATCAAAGGTTTATACGATGGGCTCGTAACATAGATTTGACCGAATATGCTGAAAATTTGAAAGGTAAGATCAACCTTGACCCCATGACCCCATTCGATCAATTCCTCCAAATCAAATTTGTAATCCATTTACAAAGTAAATCGATTTCCTTTATTTCAAGATCAAACCGATTTAATCCGCTTAAGCACATAAGATGCTATTAATTCAATTCTAGATTCAGGTGTACACGGTGCTATCGTAGTATTGGAACAATCCTTCTCAGGCGACACTATGGCTACAGCATTAGGTATACCACCTGCTAAACACATGATCAGGCGACATCTTTCTGCCGAACTTGAAGCCCTCGTTTTACCAGCAAGGTACTCTGTCTACTGTCAACCGGAGACCACATTGGACAACGCTCATTAAACAATTTTCTATCAATACTATTTTATTATTAAAGTAAATCAAGGAAAAAATCATTTCAATGATCAATCTCAGAATTAGGAAAAAGAAATTTTTCGAAGATTAGTTTTTCTAATTCTCAACTTCTTCCAAGTAACATGAAATTACAATAGTTTTCTTCTAACTATTATCAACAATCTCTGGTAAATAATCAACGTTAAATAATATCGGATAAAAATATTAATTATAGTGACGTTGTTCTGAGATACGATTTTATCAAGATTCAAGTATATATATTTAAAAGAAAACAATTTATTAAAAATAATCGATTTTTTAACAAAAAGTTTAAATACTATAACTCGGAACAACGTGATGATTGCGATCACTATCATATCAGGAATTTTGAGCTGCATATTTAAAAACAAACAAATAACTATGTTAATTACGATAATTCTTTTTATTTTTCAAAACAATATTTAAACTTTGGGATATTAAATTTTACAAAAGTGCAGCTCAAAAACTAATCAATCAATGTTGTAAGAGTTTGAGGCTTTTCAACACACAAAACTCGTATATTCGCAATTTCCTAAATCATTTATTGAGTTTTTCAATTGCAGAAATTCGGACAACTGCTTAGGCGATCAACGAATTACACAGTGTTAACGTCTTCTTGCCCATCGACAAGAATTCGATTGAACGTATCTTATCGTTGGAATCGTCTAACTTTCTTTTTATTATATTAAAAAAAAAAAAAACCGAGTTCGTGCCTAACTCGTTAAACATTTGAACGCAGCTTTGATCATTTTTATTTATTTTTTTTTTTTTGAGATAGAAAATTCATACACTAGTTAAAGTTAAATTATTTCAATTATTATCGTTGATATGGCATAATCGATATATATATAAAACAAAAGTATTTATGTACATAAATACATGGTAATATACTTTAAATTAATCTGAAACGTTCGTCAATCAATGCAAGTGTTTTCTTGATAAAATTGATAACGTCAAATCGTAACTCGTTAAACTATAAAAACTAAAAATACGTGTATCTAATAATAATAATAATATTAATAACATTAATATAAATAATACTAATAATTAACAACGGTGGTTAGCGTTTAAATATGAAATTTTTCAGGCATATGTGAGAAATCTAAAGAAAAGAAAAAACGGGGAAAAAAATAGAAGCATACGAAAAAAAAAAGGATAAAAAAACACACACACATTTTCTCCAGTATATTAAAAATTAAAAATAATAATAATAGTAATAATAATAATAATAATAGACACGCCGGTATATGATAGTTAAATTATTAAATTTATGCAATTGAGATTAGTGCCGCTCCATTGTTCGTATATAATTATTATTAACAAAAAAAAATTATTTAAAAATAAAAATGTTTCATCGTCAGATCAAGTTTTGATGAATGATTTAAAAAAAAAAGAGATGGAAACGATGAAAAAAGTAATTTAAAAGAAAAAAAAAAAACAAGGATTTTCTTTTTTGCTAATATACTATAAAAACACATAATCTCATTTATTTATATAATAGAAATGCTCGTTCATGTGATATCGTATTTCTAGAGAAAAAAAAAACGAAAAATATCTCAAAAAGAGGAATGAGATCGCGTCATGCAAATTAAAAATCATTCGTTTGTCGATGAAGTAAAATAAAAAAAAAAAGAGAAAAATAAAATAGAATATAAAATGCTTGTTAAATATCGAAAACTTCGAAAGAACATATATAAATATAAATAAATGAATAAATACGTATATACGAATGAGCGGACAATGTACACTTTATATAAATTCGTATTTAATGAACGCACAATTTATCGACGAGTTTAAACTACAACGCATCAAATTTAGCTTCGAGAGCAAATTTTCAATCTTTATTAATTAACGTAAATTCATTGATAGACAAAATTAGCGATTTAAATCATTCATAACTTTTTTCTTTTTTTTCTTTTTTAATGTCTCTATTTTCATAATAAACATTTTTTGGGTGCATATCATATTCATCAAAGCTTATCTTTTTAACGATGAATATTTAAATATTTATATATATATAAATAAAAAAGAACAATTCACAAAAATTACAATTTGTAATTAAAAGAATAAAACAAGCAAGCAAGGAAGAAAGGAAGAAAGAAAATCTAACTCACGATATGACTCATTGTCAGTAATGAAATATAATAATAATAATATTATTATTAATAATAATAATAGGCCTAAGAAATTAAACAAGTAGTAAATGGCAAATTTTTTCGCTTCGACTATCATTGACAAATCGAGCTTTTACACGGTTAAAAAAAAAAAAAAAAGATTTAGTAAAAATTAAAACAAAAAGCAACATAAAAAAAAAAAAAATAATAAGAAAGAAGAAAACGTATGAAATAGAAAAAAAAATGTGTGAGGAAAAGAATTAAAAAATTTCCAGAGAGAGAAAAGAATAAATAATAGTAAAAATAATAATAATAATAATCGTTAGTCAATTGGGGTACAAAGTAGGCATAAAATATCTTTGATCGTTTTCACACATGCCATATTTTGGGGTAATATCGGGTATACACACACGTAAATACAATACAATGCAGTCGACATAATGTACATATACAAAACATCCTAAACACTCGGAAAAAGTGTCTCACTGTACAATATTATTATTATAATATTCTATATATATAATATTATATTCTTGGCACCATTATGAACAGAACAAAATATAACAGGAGTCTACAGTCCCCTCTATCGCGAAATTCCATTTTAAATGTTTCTATTATAGCTGAGCCGTAGCCCACAGCTGCTGCCTGCACTGCACTGCGCTATTATACAGCACATGCTAATACTAGTGATCGTGGTGTAATCCTTGGACGGACATGTTTTTTTTTTTCTTTTTTTTTAATATTTTCATCAACAATTCTTTTCTTCCTTTTTCTTTTCATTTTTCTTTCATTTATTTACTTCCATCTCAATATTCCATTAAAAAATTTTAAATGGCAATATATTATATATATGGGATTATAATTAATGAATTAATAACCCATGACTAGCCATGGATAACATCACTGTGCATTTCTAGCTCCTATTATCTATTTTCCTGATTAGCTAAGTTTAATATTTATCTCTCTCACTCACTCACTCTCACTCTCTCTCTCTCTCTCTCTCTCTCTCTCTAAATATATATATATATTTATATATAAATATATATATACATCTATATATATCTATATACATCTTTTTTTGCTGTTCGATGTTTTCGTCAAATTCCAAATCCGATTGATTATTAAATACTCCGATGCTGGTATGATCGTTTCATAATTAAAAAAAAAAAACAATTAAACCTAAAGAACGATCATTAGTATCGAGTTTAATCATATTCTATATATATATATATATTTTATATATTATCATTTTTATTCATATATTATCGATGGTGCACAGAACACTCTCTTGTGTATGTATATTTATGTTGTAACTAGATATTCATTTGAAAAAAATATCAATTACATTTTTTTTTCTTTCTTTCTCTATCTCTCTTTACATATATATATATTTATATATTCTCGAGCAGCTGCAGCAACCAATGAAATATGTTTTTGTATTAAAAAATTAATTTCAATTCATAACAAAAAATTATGACCAATCAATCATTTCCCATTTATTAGGTTGTCCGGAAAATTCGTGCCGATTTCCGGTAGATAGCATTAAAGTTCTTTTGCTAAAAAAAAAACTTGAAAAGTTCTGGAAGGAAAAAATTTTGAAATTACTCTTAAAGATAGAGAAAGATTGTAAAACAGAATGGCACTTATATATAATTTAATAAATATATACCAACAAAAACAAAAAACTTAAATTGCAAAACATTTCAATCTTCCATCAAAATCGGCACGAACTTCTCCGGACAACACAATAAATTTCAATACAATTCGATCGACCTTAACAAAAAATAATAATCACCAAACATTCCTAAATGAAATAAAGAATTTAAAAAAAGAGAAGAAAGAAAGAAAGAAAAAGGAAAAAAAGGAACAAAAAGTGAAAAATAGAAAAAGGTCTGCTGCAGTATGTATTCGAACGTGTATGTGTGCCCGCTGAGACGCCAAAGTGTGTGCATATTTTAAAGCGAAATAGAAAGCGTGTACGCAGAGGTGTGCATGAAGCGTGGTGTGCATATGTGTAGAAGTCAACTGGACGTGGTCCCCAAGGGCAGCACTGTCAGAGGTCGTCAAATGAGTACCATGAGCGCTGGAGGTAGTCTAAATCGTGGAAGCAGAGCAGCACTACATCAACACCATCAAACATCACTTTCGGCTCTTCATATGACGGCTAATCATGTTGGCACTGTTGATAGACGGAGATCCAGTCTCAGGGTAATGTATTATAATAATGATACAAGAGTCTCGTCCGTTTACAACTGTATTAGGATTACCAGGATTATTACAGTTATATATTTGTATTGTTTATTGTCTTGTTTAGATTATTATTAATCATTATTTATATAGACCAAATGTGTCTTGTAAATTGTTTATTATTCTATTTCAATCATTGTTGACAAGTTGTAATTAATGTAAAATATTTTTTTGGAGTAGAAAGTGGGGATTTAATTAGGTAAGATGTTATTTGCTTATATATTAAAAATATATTATTAATTTATTATTATATTATTTAATAATTAT